AAAAAAAAAAAAAAAAAAAAACGTTCCAACACTTCGCCATATTAATAAATTTAATAAATTAAATTGATTTAAGAGAATTTAAAACCAAAACAACAAGAGAAAATACAGCTGTTTTTTTTCTTTAAAAAAAGAAAAAAAAATTATTTCTGGATCCCCTTTGCATCGAAGGTTCCGGAAGGAAATCGAACTTCCATTCCCCATTTTTGATGGGTTAAAAATAAAATATAAAAGCATAATAATATAATAATTAGGCATTGAAATTACAGTAAGCAATTAATTAAAAATAAATAAATGAAAAAAAGGTAGCGTAAACGCGGTCTCCTTTCTTGGAAAATACAGGAACCCCTTTTGAAAGCACCTAGTTTTGTCCTCAAAACCATGGCTTCCTCAATCCTTCTTCCCCTCTTTTCTCTCTCCTCTGCCGCTGCTTTCTCTCTCTCTCTCTCTCTCTCTCTCTATATATATATATCTATATATATATACACTCCAATTTCTGCAAGAGAAAACCCACACATCGATTAAGAATCGATTAACGAAACCGAAACAGAGGGTAAAAAGAAAACAGAGCATCATGTCTCGGAGTGCGGCTTGCAGGGCCTGGTTCGTGGCGGCAAGCATCGGCGCCGTGGAGGCCATGAAGGATCAAGGGGTTTGCCGTTGGAACAACCTCATCAAATCCCTGCACCAACACGGGAATAGCAAGCTCAGATCTTACTACCAAGCTAAGAAGCTCTCTGCTTCCTCTTCTTCCGCCATTGCCAACCAGATCAACAAGTCTAGAGAGGAGAAGATGAGGAAAGTCATGGATTTGGGGTGTTTGGGTCCCAGTACCATCAGATTCTAGACCTTTTCCTTCATGGGTTTTCGTCAATTTCTTGCCTTTCTTGTTCTACGCTGGCGCTGTGCTCAGAAATTGGTGAAAGCTTGAAATATACAATGTTTTTTAGGCTATGATCTTCTTCTCATCTTTTCTTTGTGTTCTGGGCTTGAAGTTTGCCAATTTGTAAAGAGGTTTGGTTTGGGTTAGTAATGAATGGATACTCCAAAATTGCGAGGGCAGGACAGATTGTTTGAACACAGACTCACAACCCCACAAACTCAAAATAGCATGATATCGTCCATTTTGAACATTAGCTATCAGAGTTTTGCTTTAGGCTTACCGAAAGGCCTTGTTATAGGTTCTCAAAAGGTTTCACCCAAATGGAGAGAATATTAATGATTAGAAACCCATTCCCTAAATTAGCTGAGTAGGAACTTTCATCCCACCTCTTCAGGCTCAACTCTTTTTCTTTTGGAGTCTTAGTCATTTTTATCACGACTTCTAACCCTTTTTCTTTTGGAGTCTTAGTCATTTTTATCACGACTCCTAACTCTTTTTCTTTTGGAGTCTTAGTCATTTTTATCATGACTCCTACAAGGAGTCTCAACTCCTTTTTCTTTTAAAGTCTTTTGTTCGATATTTGAAAATTCTATTGATACGGCTAAGTTTAGGGCACGAATCTACACAATGAAATGATATTGTCCACTTCGAATATAAACTCTCGTGACTTTGATTTAGACTTTTCAAAAGGCGTCTTCTCAATCAAGAGAGTATTAGTTGATCATAAATCCATGATCAATCTCTAAATTAACGTACGTAGACTTTCGATCACAAGTCAACATATTTAAGTACTTTCTATCACAAGTCAACATATTTAATTTAATTAGAGAATGATGATGAATGTATGTGGTGGAGGAGGGTATGATATGACTGTGGAGATCCCTCCCTGACTGATTACATAACAAACAATGGTTTGTTGTTATTAGAGAAAAAGTTGGGCGGATTCTGCCCTCCTTAACTGCATTTAATACTAACGGACACAATATAGTAATGCTTAACCAACCATACTTCTTACAATCTAACTCCTTACTTTATTAGTATACCTCAAAATAATTCATTATTTCTCTATCTATTCAATAGCATTTATATGCATTTTAATGAGCGTTGATATACCAACTATTTGTTGTGCGTCCAAAGCGGAACAAATATACTCACAATGTCAAAGAGACACCAAGATATCTATGTGGTTTGGAGAGAAGAAGTTCCCCTACATTCACGGGTAGCAACCAATCTAAACCAAGTGTTATAAGTGAATAACTCACTATCACACTAAAAAGAACTCTCACCAATATGTTACTCAACAAATACAATGGGACACCCAAAACTCTCCCAAATCCCGATATATAACTAAATCTGGTATGACTAAATCTAATTCAAATAACCAATCAAATAAAAACTTATACAATTTACAACAATCTCCACCTTGTCAGAAGACCTCCAGGTTGATAACTGAGTTGGTTGTTACCACGTCAACGCACTATTCCTTTCTTCCAACGTTGATGAAATTCAAACAATGTTAGAACTCTTCACGAGCGATCACCTTTGTCAACATATCAGCAGAGTCATCAGCAGTTCCAATTTTTAATAAACGAATGTCCCCTTCACTAATAATTTCTCGAATAAAGTGAAAATGGACATCAATATGTTTAGTACGAGCATGATGAACTTGATTTTTTTGACAAATAAATAGCACTCTGGCTATCACAAAACACATCTATATGTTTCGGCAAATTACCCAAGTCATTGATCAACCCATGCATCCAAATGGCTTCTTTAAAAGCTTCCATTACTGTCGTATACTCTACTTCGGTAGTAGACAGTGCAACAGTAGACTGCAATGTTGAACACCAACAAACAGGTCCACCAGCCATAGTAAATAAATAACCCGTAGTAGATCGTCGCTTATCTCCATTCCAAGTGTTTTCTTTGCATTGCCTAAGTCTTTCATTTCAAATGTTTTAGAAAGCTGATCTTTGAGCTTATCAATCTCCACCTGTCTCTTTGAAGCAATTAACATATCATCAGCATATAAGAGCAAATAGATAAACGATCTATCATCAAGACATCGATAATACACACAATGATCAAATTGACTATGAGTATACATATGCTCTACCATGAAATGATCAAACTTGTTATACCATTGGCGAGGAGATTGCTTCAGTCCATACAAAGATTTCTTCAATATGCATACCAAATGTTGCTGTCCAACTACTCGAAAACCAACTAGTTGCGCCATATATATTTCTTGTTCCAAATCTCCATGCAAAAATGCAGTTTTACGTCGAGTTGTACAAGCTCAAGATCGAATTAAGCAACCAAAACCAACAAAATTCGAATAGAAGAATGTTTTGCCACAGGTCAGAAAATTTCAGTGCAATGAATACCTTCTTTTTGTGCATAGCCTTTAGCCCCAAGTCGAGCCTTATAACGTATACCAAAAAAATCTTCTCTTTTGCGAAAAGCCACTTACAACCAATTTCTTTCTTACCATTTGGAAGTTGTACCAAATCACAAGTTTGATTTATCTCCAATGATATTATCACTTGATTCATAGCCTCTTGCTAGTGCAATCTATCCGGGCTCTGGATAGCATCTTTGTAGTTGTTGGGACTTCATCAATCAAAGGGAAAGCATATGCTATCATATCATCGAACCTTGTAGGTTTTCGAATTTCCCTTCGTGGTCTATTCCTAGCGATGGACTCAGGTTCCTCCACTCTTTCATTTACAAGGCTTTGCTCCTCCTGTTCTAAGACGTCAGAGTTATTATCTACCTGATCAATAGGTTCTTCCGTAGGAACAACCATATCAGGAGAGAATACCACCTTCTCCACCTGCTTCAATGCCTCGTCATTATTTTCAATTTCCTGCAAAAGCATTCTAGACTCATGGAATGTCAAATCTCGACTATTAACAATCTTACTTTTCTAGACACCATAACCTATAGCCCCTCACGCCTTTGGTAAAGCCCATAGACTTGGCTTTTTTTTGCTCTAGAATCCAACTTTGAGAATGTCACAGGATAATAAACAGGACACCTAAACACATGCAATTTATCATAATCGCTAACAGGAGTACCTGACCATACCTCAAGCGGAGTTTTCCCACCATTTCCAGAAACAGGTAAACGATTCACGAAGTGAACTGCATAACTGAGAGTCTCAGCCCAAAATGCCTTACTCAATCCTGCTTGCGACAAAATGCATCAACCTTCTCTATTAATGTCTGGTTCATTCTCTCAGCAACTCCATTTTGTTGTGGCTTACCAGGAACAGTGAAGTGTCGAACGATCCCTTCATCTCGACATACTTTAAGAAATGGATCATAAGTATATTCTCCACCGTTGTCTGATCTCAACTTTTTGATTTTCCTATCCGCGCCTGATTCTCTACCATTTTCTTCCACTCTAAGAAGATTTGGAAAATCTCGTTTTTGTGCCTCATGGGATACATCCAAACTCTCCTCGAGTAGTCATCAATAAAGGTGACAAACCACCTCTTTCCTCCCAATGAGACATTTTTCGTGGGGCCCCATACATCAGTGTGAACATAATCCAAAATGTCATTTGTTTGATGTAAGCGGTACAAAACTTCGCATTTTTTGTTTACCAAATATACAATATTCACAAAAATCAATTTTACCAGTTGTGGCACCCTTAAGGACTCCTTGGTTCACCAATGTCTGAAGCGCCTTCCCACCAGCATGTGCAAGTCTCATGTGCCATAATTTCGATATGTCTTGTTCTTTCGAACTTGCCACAGCAGCATGCCCAATTATTGTGGTTCCGTTGAGGTAATATATGCTACCTCTTCTAGTTTCTTTAATTGCCACCAAAGCTCCACGAGCTATTTTCAAATTCTCTCCTTTCAAAATGATATAATAACCACTCGCATCCAAAACGCCAAGGAAAATCAAATTTTTCTTCAAGTCAGGGACATACCTCACATCATTGAGTTTTCGTATAACCCCGTCAAACATCTTGATTTGTACTGAGCCGATTCTCATCATCTTACAAGTACTATCATTTATAGACAACTCCACCATTGAACCCTTTGACGTCCAAAAACATCTCTCTGTTGGGACACATATAATAGGAGCACCCAAAATTAAGAATGTTTGGCTAATTGATAACATCTCTCTATTGGGACACATATGATAGGACCACATTGAACTTCGACCCCTTCTCTTTTAAGATCGGACAATCTTTCTTCCAATGGCCTTTCTGTCAACAATATGCACACTCATTTTTATCAAGTTTTCTCCAATTATCAGATCTAACTCTTGACTTTGATCAGGACTCTCCACATTCGCTCCTTTGCCAAGTAGAAGTCCTTCCACGAGCAATGAGAACATTTGAGCTAGAGTTTTGATATGTCACCTTTTCCTTCTCTCGCATCTCATTATTTATTAAGGCATTTGAAACATCTTCAAAATCAATATTAGTGATTTCATGTAGTAGGGTCATTACTAAGAACTCGTAGGATTCTGGCAAAGAATTTAATAACAATGTCGCCTTGTCTTCGTCATCAATCTTAACATCAAGATTGAGCAAATCAGGGATGATTTTGTTAAAATCATCCGAATGCTCAGCCATTGAGATACATTTTTTTGTAGTCAAAACGGAAGAGTTTTTCTTCAAATAGAGTTTATTTTCCACTCTTTTGCATATATTTCGCCTCAAGCTTGTCCCGTAGTTCTTTCGCCACGGTTACCTTCATAAATGGATATTTCTGGTCCTTGCCAAGGCAGGATCGAACAATTCCACAGGCTTGTCGATTTAATTTCGTCCATTCTGCTTCTGTCATGTATTCAGGCATCACCTCTTGGAGAGAAGCATCAAGATCTTGCATGACCAGCAAATCGCTAACTTCGCCTCGTCAAACACCAAAATTATTGGTTCCATCAAATTTCTCTACTTCGAGATTAGAACTCAAAAATCTCGATCCATGCCGTGATTTAATTCCAGATAATTCTGCCATATTCAAGAAAATAAGCACGATTGTGAGTACGTCTAGTGGTCGATGAGGCCAAAACTTTCACAATACTCCAAATACCACAATCAGGCTCTGATACCACTTGTTGTGCGCCGAAAGCGGAACAAATGTACTTACAACACCAATGAATGAAATTACACAAAGAGACACTAAGATATTTACGTGGTTCGGAGAGAAGAAGTTCCCCTACATCCATGGGTAGCAACCAATCACTAATAAACCAAGTGTTACAAGTGAATACCTCACTATCACACTACAAAGACTCTCACCAATATGTCACCCAACCAATAACACCCAAAACTCTCCCAAATCGTGATATCAAATTTCGATATCAAATCCTGATATATAACTAAATCTCGGATGACTAAATCTAATTCAAATAACCAAATAAATCTAATTCAAATAACCAAATCAAATCTAATCCAAATAATTAAATCAAATCAAAACTTATGAGAATTAATATACTTGATATGAATGTTAATATACCAATGATATAAACACTTGACTTGACATATTATTGATATATCAAAAAACTTTGGAGGGTAGAACCATGTAACTTCAAAACCGAAAATCATATTTCAATTTCTTTTCTTCATATTTGCAATATTCGAGAACTCGCAAAATTAAGGCTACCCATTACTAATTCTCTATATTTAAAAGCGGATTATCTGTTAAGGTATTTATGACTAAATTATAGTTTATCATATATAACATATTTGATATTTTATTACCAGAGATATTTGCCTTCTCATGCCTCTTTTTATTTATTTTTATTTCCATATTCTATATTCTTGTAATTTATTGATTATAAATAAATAACTTTCACACTATTTATATGGGTGGATTAGGCAAACATTCTCTAATGTTAAAAAAATTATGGTTGGAATATGATCCTAAAAATTATAATAAACTAGTTTGCCAAATTCTCTCGCAATAATCCAAATATGTACAGAAATCCAATCCAATTCAATCCAATCTAGTTGGAGTCAAGACAATGAAAAAAATGCAAAACATGGATTCAAAAATCGAAGTGATCCTGATTGGGCTTGGGAGAAGTAAGCAACGCGGTGTAGAGGCGGAGGCGATCCTCCCCCAAGGAAGAGCACCGCGACAGGGGACGCCGAGGCCGAATAAACGACAACGATGTTAACGTAAGCCGGTGGCGATAACGACGCCAGGCGAGCTGGATGGCAACGGCAGCCCAAGTACGCCACCCAGGGGAGTAGTAGCGGGCGCTACGTTTGACCTTGTCGTTGACGAATGTGTAGCGAAAGTGCTGGGTTACGTACTTGACATCCTCCGCCTCCAACCCAAACGCCTCCGTCGTCTCAAGTGTAACCAAAGTGCAAGAGGACGGCGGAAGCCGCTCTATGAAGGGGCGGCGGAGGCACCAGGATAGAAGCTCGTCGCCGCTGAAGTTGCCTGGCCCCAACATGCAGCAGCTTTTGACGCCGTCGCGTAAGACTTGGCTGCTTTGGAGATGCCCTCGCACGACAAACAGCATTCTTTGAACTGGGTCGCCTTCTCTTGTTATCTGAGTATGACTATAATTGTTAGATGAACACGACTCTCCATAATGGTATAATATTGTCCAACTTTGAGTATAACCTCTCGTAGCTTTAGTGATAATATTTTTTTATTATAAACTCACGATCATTTTTAATAAAGGGTTTTGTTGTTGGAACTTACGGTTTCGCCCTTGGTGAAGATGAGGGACTTGACACGGTCACAAATGTTCTCAAGAACAAGATCATCCATGTGTTGAAACAATGGTACCTGCCTAACTAGATCCAAGCAAAGGTGATACTTTATCTCTCGTCGGAGCCCTTCCGGTAGGTTTTTGATCATCTCGCACTCGTCAACTCCGCGCATCGCTGCCCAACGTTGCCGTTCGAAGTTCCGAACACGCTGTCGGAAGCCTTGTGGAAGATGTCGCTTTCTCATCCACCACTCTAGATTCCTCATCTTTAGCTGCATTCCTTGTTTCTTTGACGTTGTTGCATGCAGAAACACCTGCCCACACATTTATAACTTATCGATTCCTGTTTGAGTTTCCTTCGTGGCTTTTAAAACGCATCTAATAGAAAGAGGTTTCTATATTCTTATAAAGGGTGTTTCGTTCTCCTCTCTAACCAACAGGGAATCTCACCATAACCATAATAATAGTATAAGCAGTTACCTTGATGTTTCCTATCAACATGGTGACCAATAAGAGTCCACTGGTGAGAACAATGATATTGAACACAACTTCCAGCCATTCCGTGGTGCTCTCCAAGTTCCCAAAGGTACTGTTTAGTAAATAAAATAAGTTATCACTTAGAAAAGTTTTCTTCAAAACAATTCGAAAAATGATAATGAAACAAACGTGGAGGATTGTTAAGAGGGAGTCCTACATTGGCTAATTAAGAGAATGGTCATGAGTTTATAAGTAAAGAATACGTATCCATTGGTATGAGGCATTTTGGGGAAACTAAAAGCAAATCAACGAGAGCTTATGCTCAAAGCTGACAATATCATATCATTGTGAAGGTTCGTGATCCCTAACATGGTATCATAACCATACCCTTAACTTAGCCATGTCAATAGAATCCTCAAATGTCGAAGAAAGAAGTTTTGAACTTCGAAGATGTAGTCAAAAGTGTCAAACAAAAGGTGTACTTTGCTTGAGGACTCCAAAGAAGGAGCCAAGCCTCGATTAAGGAGAGGCTATTCAAGGGCTCCATAGGCCTCAGAGAAGGCATAAGTAAGGAATACATCTCCATTGGTATGAAGCCTTGTGGGGAAACCAAAAGCAAAGTTATGAGAGCTTATACTCAAAGTGAAAAATATCATATCATTACAGAGATTCGTAATTTCTAATCATAAGCATGAAAGTTTAAAAGGGTGTGAACGTACCTAAGAGTCATGAGACCCCAAAAGATGGGAAAAAGGATCTTCTCCAAGCGGCTTTGGTTGACAACAAGCTGAACAGTCCATTTATAAGCTCCATAATTAAAGTTATCAGCAGTATCCAAACACATGAATTTCGGTTGCCTGTTACTCGCCCAATCAAATCTTGCACTGTCTCTCCCCATTCCCATCTTGGTGGCTCCATAAAAGATACGATCTTTGCACGACAACAGCCTCACCCCACAGCTGCTCGTGCCTCTGCATTGCTCTTTAAGGCACTTGGCTGCTCTTTGCACACCCAACAGGTACCAGCATGCACCTGCAGCCTGCACTCACACAAGTTTAATAACAGTCCTATTAAGAATCACAAATCTCCATAATGATACGATATTATCCACTTACGTGAGCCGCAACAAAGTAAGCGATGAGATTGAGGGCAATGCCCCACCAGACCGTGCCAAAGATGAACCCCGACAGGTTTTGGAGGCGCCGCAACAGGCAAACGGAATGGTACAATTTAGGTAAGTATTGAAATAGAAATACAATTAACAATACTGTCATCACCAATGTCACTGATCCTTCCTTCATTATTCTTGGAATTACTACCCATAATACTACCTGCAAATTAATTTTAATTTTTGAAAATATATTTATATTAAAAATGATTGATTATCCAACGGTCAAGAATTCTTCACAGATTTTAAAATTAAATTGAAAAAAAAAAGGATCGAATCCCAATAGATTCCGAATTAAAAAAAAAAAAAAATTCATGTCGTTCACAAAAAGACATTCAAATTTCACATGTTCCTCTGCCCAGAATCAGAGTTTTATAAACACCACATTCTATTAATTCATGTAAATAAATGAAATAAAATAAAAAATTTATTTAATTCTAGGCATTTTCAGTTTTTTTTGTTTTTTTAAACAATTATTTATTATGTTGAGCAAATTTTAAAATTGGATAATATTTTATTAAAATAAAAGTAAAAACATTCCTAAAGATCGTTGGTTATGAAATTTATTTATATTATTATATGCATGATACCTGTGGGAGTGGAAGAATAACGAAGAGATCAAAGAAGAAGCCTTTTTTGGATTTGAAGTAGCGGAGAGCGACGGCGCGTGGGGTGGAATCTCTAAGGCCTCTATTCTCCGGCGTGGCTGCGGTGGCAGCTCCACCGGCGAAGGAGTATCTTGTGGCAGTCTTGAGCTGGAGCCACATGTTCCAAAGGTGGAAGGCGTCAGCGGTGCAGCGGAGGACGGTGACGGTGATGGCTAACCACCCATCAACAAACAAGCACATCCATGACTCGCTTATGGAGAGCGTGTAGAGGAAGAGAGGGTCCACGAAGAGGCCTGCGGCGGAGACGAGGAGGAAGACCCGGTTCCATTCTCGGACCCATTTGGCTCTCGGGTCGAGAACCGAGCCGACCCCGTAGAGGCTCCGGCAGAAGCCACCGTCGTGTTCTTGTAATTCCTTTTCTACTTCTTCGTCGGAGGAGGTGGCCATGGGAGGAGGGAGGGAGGAGGAGATTGGAGAGACGTGTTGTGATTTGTTTGATGTTGTATGTGAGAGTGTCAGCTTGGCGTGGAGGGTATAATCGACAAGGATGAATTATTACAATGGAGGAAGTACAGCCAAACCCTTCATTGATTTCATCCATAAAGACAATTTTGGTCTTAATTGACCAATTTATCCTCCTCCTCTCTCTCTCTCTCTCTATCTCGACATTCGATCGACTTTATCCTCATACGTACAAAACCCGCCTAGTTGCTCAACACAGCTTAACCGGGGCCAACATATACGTATGAGGACGAGTATCTCAATTGTTTGATCGCTATAGATGATGAGGCAGCCAAGTTGACATGTCTCTAGAAAAATATGTAAATGAGGACACGATGGTTTAGCGATATATTGATTAGGTGATTGAACTTCAACTATCAGTGATATTCTAATAGGAAATGATGACCCGTGACTTTGTGTGATGTCAAATTCTCTTAATCAACTCAAGCGAACTCACGAGTCAACTTAGAAATGGTCCAATGTTTAGGGCAAAATCGAGGACCACGAGCTAACCCACCAGGTAGGCTGCTGAAGCCACATGGGATGTACACATGACTAAACCCCCTATAAGACCCATGCAAGAAATCTGGAGCATCGATGGATGAACGTTGATTTCAATTAGAATAGTACCACTTAGATATCGAAATATGTTGGACACAGGTGTGAGTATCCATTTTGCAGGTCACATCACTCCAAATTATGATTTGATTCTTGCATATAAAAATGTTGATTTTGTATTCGATTTTAGAAAAAGAATTAACTTAAGCTTTGAAGAATCATTTATAATTTGGTTAGCTCAAAACCAAGAAGAACTTAGTACTAAGCAGCAAAGAACGTTTGGGCACTTAAAAAAAAAAAAAAAGCCTACATTTTGTCTTTTACCTTTGAAATCTTTGATGAAATCGACACTGCCCATTTTTCTTGTTTTCTAGCGTATTTGGTTGAGAAACGACAAAGTTCTCGGTCAAAATTTCATATGCTCTCTAATAAAACTCAGCGATCTTACATTTTGATTCCGTTAAGAATGAACCTCTACAATAATATAATATTACACTTTAAATATAAGTTCGGGTGATTTTACTTTTCGTTTCTCCTCACAATCTTCAACCTTTGAACTCCTAACTTTTTGGTCCAATTTCTACCGGTTAATTTACCTAAAAACTTATTCGACAATAATTTTGATTAGAGAAAAATACAAAATTGAATTTAGAACAAATAATAGGAAAATGAATTAAAGAAGAAGGAAGTAAAGGACATTTTGTGATGGGGATAGGAGGGAAGTGAATAAAAGGATATTCTCCTGTTTTCATAATTCAAAATTATGCTTTTTTTATTTGTCTTTTCATTCCAATAATTGAACTAAACAATAGATGCTCTATTATTTTCATTTTAATTTCCCTTCGAATCTTCACACAATCTGAAAAAATAATTATATGCTTTATCTCTTTGAGGGCAAATAAAATTACTAATCGAGAATTATCAACTTTGAAAATCTAGGACTTTAAGAATATAGCTCAATTGAGCGAGCATAGTCAGTTGTACGGTTCTAGAAGTGTATGATTTAGACCAATTATTTAATACTCATTCATAAACGAATGACTGACATAAAATTTTTATACTCATTCATGCTATTTCTTTTTGTAGATGAAATACAAGTTTGCAGCCAAAGTAAGAACATACATGAGCAATATTTGATCGTAGTTTTGACTTTTCACCTTTAGCTATGTACTCCATGTACAAACATGTTTGTTATCCGCTATTAAAAATAGTGATCTATATCCAATCCAAAAAAATGAAAGAATTGTTATCAATTGAACCATTTATCATCGAACAAGGATAGAATCGACCCGTTGATGAGGTTTAAGAAGAGAGGGAAACCATAACATTAAATAAAAAAAGAAAAACAACGAAGGCCAATATGATTCAAATGCGTGGTAGGGGTGGGGAAGGGGTAAGTAAGGTAAGGGAAAGGGACAGGCGTTAGGGGCTTGGCTCTATTATGCATACAAGTTGAGCAACTGAGGTTCTCTGAAGTTTCCTTGGTTTTGTTTGTTTTCCCTAACAAGAAGATATGCATAATCAAAATCCCAACTCTCCACAAGGTATTTATACCACTTTAAACACAAGCTCTCATGGCTTTGCTTTGGGCTTCTCCAAAAGGCTTCATACCAATAGAGATAGTATTCCTCGCTTATAAACCATGATCTTCTACTAAATTAACCAATGTGGGACTCACTCCCAATAATCCTCAACAGAATATTAAATGGCTACCATCATACCTACTCGTCACTTCCAAAATATGAACAAATTGCCATCCATGGCAAATATTTTACCATTTCTCCTTCCTACATCTAACCATTATGAAAAAGTAATGTCCATAACATAAATAATATACTACTTCCTATAGTAAGTAGGAAACGTAATTATACTTCACTATTTTTCACTAGTATATCTAACCAATCATAAAAGTATCAACTGCACTACCAGAGTTGCATTCATCCTAACCTAAATAATGGACTATTTAATCGAAATAAGCACAAAATGAGATTAGATGGAGCATTTTGATTTTCATTGTGACTTGACAACACCTACTTAATAAAAGAAAAAGAAGAGAAAATTAGAAAAAGGGGCCCTAGTTTGCAGGACAATGTGGCTCAATGTGGTCCATAGAGGACAGCCGCATCTTGAACCCCCCCAGTTCGGTATGGTCTTTATCTGATCATCCACTCAATATGGAATTTAGTTTCGGCTGGACCTAAACGTTAATCCTATCCAACTTTTTAAGGATACTAGATATTAAAAAGAAAGAAAAGAAAAGCAACAACATTAACTTCACAAATGATTTCTTAGACCGAAACTTCTTAAGGGATTTGGTGAAGGCTATCTATCTCAGCTAAGAAGATTTCGTGAATTCGTGTCCAGAAACCAAGATTTGAATAGCTATGTTTAGGTAAACTTGAATGCCAAAAACATTCTTAATATCAGGTCATTGACAGTAATCAGACATCAATATCATCTTATACAACCTATTTCTCCAAGTTGGCATTTCAAAAAGACAGTTACAATACCATTTGCATGGGTCAAAAATGAATATTAATTTGAACCCATAAGAATGGAACTTACTACCGCAGGCTGGAAAACCGAAGGAAAGAGATTTAGTTGCCTCCCCATTGACTCCTTTTGTATATACGCGTAGAGATGTCATATATGTACAGACTCCTCTCAACGGAAGTATACCCTTTTGCTTCCATTTTCCAGACTTATTCCTTCACTTGGATGACAATTTTTGGCCTGCTGCTGTAAAAAGTATAAAAGGGGTCATAAAAAGAAGAGGTTAATAACATGATTTCAAAGATATGGCGACCATTAGGCAAAAAAAAGCCACAGAAAAACAAACAGTTCACATTTTCCCTTAATAGCACCGACTTGTTTAGTTCACACAATCAAAGGACGCTTTGTCCAGAAGTTGAATCAAAGGAAAATTGATGCATGGAGGATTATAGGACCACGATGATGATATGCATAAAAATCTGGTCAAATAGCACCAGGAGAATGATATATGCCTCACAATTTGTTAAACAAAATATATCAATGGACATCTGAACATACGATCTACTTGTTAATAACACTAATTGATCCAAATTGTTGTTTTGATCTTCAATTCAATAACTACTTATTCCAAAAAATGATGCGAGAATGGGTTGGTATATTTTAACATCAACAAAACGAGCATGATAAAACTAGTTGAAGCCTACAATCTTTTTACCTTCGATCTGACTCCACTTCGTCCACCAAGTCTTTGTGGAACCTTGTGCTCTGTCTTTTTCTGATCCTTGACCATGCTAAATGTATAAGGGTCTCTACCATTGCATTTCTGACTCACAGCAATTCTCCTTATTGCATTCTCCTTTCCAGCTACTACTGTCTTGCATCTTCCTATTCCATCTAAACTTTCCTTTTTCTTTGGCTTTAAACAAGTGTTTTGAAGGTTTCTTTGCTGTAGTAGAGAAGCTTTTGGACCAAGTATCTGGTTGAAGAACAAACAAGATTAAGTACATCTCCTTGACATTGTTGAGAAAGGATGCATACTGAAAAATCAAAATTCTCAATACCATTTCTCTGACAGAAAAATGATTGCAAGAAAACCATAAGTTTTGCCACATAGATATCTCAATATCAAATTTTAACTAACAGCTTCTCACCTTTGGTTTTGAAGACTCGAGGTGGGCGAGCTTAGTGGGCTTAGCATAGGATTTACTAACTCTTCTTGAGTTGGAACTCGCGCCCTTCACTTGAATCTTTAATGTGCTTGAGAAAACACTTGAATCTTTGGATTTGTTCATTGCTGTTTGAGTCATCCTGGAAAAGTTTCCAACACCTACACTACTTTTCAGGTGTTGTTCTGATGTATTGGTGATGCTTGAATTACTCGAAGAAGAGTTATGGCCACTTGACTGTCTTTGACAGTTATTAACCTCCAATCTCGATACTTGTCTATTGGCACAGCTTTTCCTGAGACTCCTCCTCATATCAGACAAAAGTCTACTAGACATGCTCAATGGTTGGCTTGTTACCTCCGTTGCCTTGCATTGTTGTTGACGACCCAAACCATTTATGATAGTGCTGCTAGTTAGGCTGTCAGCTGGCTCCTTTCCCTCTGAACTCGAACCAGTAACCGAAACATCTGGCCTGGAGTTTTCGGTTAAACAGCTTGCATCAGAAACCAAACTCAGATTTGAACTCGAAGTTCCTTTTGAGTCTGTATAGCTCAATTTAGTGGCTGATCCTGAACTCAGCTTCTCACTTACAATATGCTTGTCCATTGCAAAACCTTGACAGCTGCCTTTGCACTTCTTGTCCTCAAAATCCCCTCTTGATCTTGAGACAGAATTGGGAAGGTTCAGAGAAGAAGACACAGATATTTCAAAATTTAAAGTCCTTTCCTCGAAGAGCTGAGAAAATGCTAATTTCAGGTCATGGGAGGAACTTTGGTGGACCCTGATATGTTTTTTTGTTTTTTTTAAGGAAAACACAAAGAACTAAATCATGAAAAGTATAAACTTTCACATCAACTCTGTAAATGAAAAAACTCTAAGGGCGCTTACGGATGGTGTGTAAAGAACCATTTATCATCACTGCAATCAAAGTACAAGCATAGGGGGAATTAGTATGA